CAGGTCCAGTGTGCGGGCCATTCTCAATCTACTACCTCGCCCTGCTATGGGCTCTTCCAGATGCCTCTGGCTGTACTCTCCCTCAAATCTCCAATGCAAACCTTCCCTTCTCCATCCTTTTGGCAGTCATGTCGTCACTTTATATACTCACTGCTCTTCACAGTGATGATTGATGAATGAGCAGGGAGAGAGTTCAGTGTTTAGTCTGCCTCTACTATTCAAATAATCCCTCCAAGTGGCCAGTTATTGGTGAGGAGGAGAGTTTGCTATTTTGCACCGGTTTGGGGTGTTTTCTCTGTGATAGAGTCTCACACTATGTAGCTCAGGTTGGCCTTGAATTCCTGCCTTATCCTCCAGAGAGCTGGGCTTGCAGCAGGGTATCACCATGCTCTCAATATGGAGGAGGTTCTTTTTTTTTTTTTCCGTTTTTTGACTCATTTGTTTGTGACATGTATATATTATGTGTGTGCATCTATGTGTGTATGCACAAGCCCATTTGTGTATGTGAGCGTGTGTGTATTGTGCCACTGCATGCACGTTAAGTCAGAGGTCAACCTAAGAGGCTGGTTCATCTCTTTCTTGCTGCTTCAGATGCCAGGCTAGCTGGCCTGAGACCTTCTAAGGATTCTCCTGTCTGAGTCTCCCAACTCCCACAGAGTACTGGGATTACAGATGCAAGCTTTTACATGGGTTCCAGGGTTTAAAACTCAGGTCCTCATTCTTGTATAAGAAGTGCTTTAGCCAGTGAGCTATCTTCCCAGCCCTGTAGGTTCTTTGGTTCTTTATAGCTTTTTTTTGAGGGTGGGTAACCAATGAAAGGAGAAGACTAAAATGAAAAACTATGCCCTTTTTATATTATAACACACAAAAATAAAAGACCCAGAGACTGGTATTGGGGTTCAAGCATCAAGCTGAAGATCAGAGAAGCACAGCAGCTGGCACTAGGTCTCACTCTACTTCAGACTGAAAGGTGATCCTGGCTCCACCAAACCTCAGACTGAAGCCTCTCTTCAGTGTGGCTGGAGAATCCTGATCTTCAATGTCTTCCTCTCCTCAACATGGCTAGAGAATTAATGCCCCATACTGAGACCCTGCTCCTGTCCTATACACCTCCCTAATGCTGGGATTAAAGGTGTGTGGTCCCAGGTGCTGAGATCATCTTTGTGTGCGCTGTTTCTCTTTAGGACTAGGTCAATCTGGGGGAGCTTGGACTCACAGAGATTCCCTCTACCTCTTAATCCTGAGTCCTAGGGTTAAAGTTGTGTACCACCACCTCCTAGTCTCTGGCTGCTGGGATTAAAGGTGTATATCATCACTGCTTGACCTCTGTAGCTTGAGGCTGACTTTGCTTTCTGAATCTTCAGGCAATCTTTAATAAATCATAAATACTATATCACCACACTATACTGCAAAATGAACAAATGGTCTGGACAGTGCACATCCATCACAAAGATGCATCATAAAATGGAAACCCTGTGTCCTATTGTTCCATGTTGATTCCAACTGTCCCTCCACATAGGCCCCTCCCATAGTTCACTCTACCAACCCAGGTCTTGGCTGCACTGGCATTTTGGACCCTGTTCATTCTAAGTGCAACCCTGTAAGACCCCCCAGGAGCTCCTCACATCCCCTCCCCCAGGGCCTCAGGATCTTTTTCAGGTCAGAATTGTTATTCCTGGTCCACAAGACCTGCTGCACTGGGTGTGAGTCCTGACACTCCAGGACCCCGCCCTCTCTGTTAGCTCTGTCCTGGGCTCAGAAGGTTCTCCTGGTTCCTGCTGTGCATTTACTCCTTCAACCTTTCCTTTTCCAGGCCCCTCTCAGTTACAGTACTCAGGCACTTGTTTCGTTTCTCTGACATCAGAGGATGATAATGTGACAGAGAGGACAACAAAGAGACAGATGTGCAGACAGTCACAAATGTAAATGTGAATCTTTCTCCCCAACCTCAGGGAATCACAGTGACCCCAGCCACTGTGGGGTCCCAATGAGAGCAGCCAAGAATTCACTCACCCACCCATCTTATCACCTAGAGTGTTTATCACACTCATAGAGGCTCCAGCCAGCTGGGAATTTGCAGACTAGTGTAAGAGTCTTGCTAAATAAAACCAGAGTTGTGAGGCAGGTGCTAACCATAATTAGGAAAACCGGCCCACAGGAGGGAGGTAGTAACTGCAGAGCGGTCAGGAAACTGTTGCCCAAGGAGGGGGAGGTGAGATCGCTATCGAGCCTTGCATCAGTGCAGAGGGAAAACACAGTACAGGAACAGGAAGTCCTCCCACTGTAAACAGCTTGAGTGAAGGTTTGGAGGCGACCAAGCGAACCGGGCACGTGATCATTGTCAGTTAGCTGAACACGACAGAAATGGACATGCTGGTGGAAGGGACAAGACACAAGGCTTTCTGTACAGGATCCGACCAGCCTCCAAAAGCTGGATGATGAGGAATCTGAACTCTGTCATTCAAACTGCGCTCTTTTCATACACCATATGCAGCTGTCGTGGGTGTGAGCTGAGACAGACCACAACTGTAAAATACATATTGGATTTCAAAGGTGGAGTACAAAAGAAAAAAATAGTGCTCATACGTGCCTGTTACATCGGTTGCTCATTAAATGATTATGTTTAGGACATGTTGTATTAAATAGAGAATATCATTAGAAATCATTTCACTTGGTTTTCTGTTTATGTTTTTGTTTTGTTTTGCTTTTTATGCTTGAGGACAATTTTAATAGCATTTTAAAAAAACAACAACAACAGGGTAGGCAGGCTGAAAATATCAGCAGCTGCCCAAAGGAGGGAGGGAAGTGGGAGAGAGAGAGAGAGAGAGAGAGAGAGAGAAGCATGCCCTTCCCAGTCAGGTGTGGAGGTCAGCAGCAGCCACCTAAGCAGAAAGGGCAGAGAAAGCACACTTGCATTCTGCTCCACATTCCAAAGGAAGACAGAAAAGCAGAAAAAAGGAAAGGTTCCCCTCATCTGAGTCAGGCCTCAGATGAGGGGAACTCAGTAAGCTAATCCTCCTGCCTCAACCTCCAGTACCACAGATGCAGGCCAGCAGGCACACCCACTTTATTTGAACATAGCCACTAGAAAGTCAGATGTGCCTCAGCATACAGGGAACAGTCAGCGGTAGAGTGATGGCAAGTCTGGAGGAAGGGATAGTAAGGACAGAGGGCAAGGCCAGGCTACAGCAGAGTGAGATTTGGAAGCCCAGTGGTGACTGGGTGAGAAACAACTGGGATGAAAGGGAAGGAACTGACATGAGACACACAGGAAGAGCAGGCCGCACCCATGAGAGACAAGCCCAAGTTAAGCTTTCCTATAAATCAGTCAGTGGCGGGCAGTCAAGACAGCTCAGCTCAGTGGGTAAAGGTGTTGGCTGCCAAGTCTTGGGACCTGAGTTTGATCCCTCAGGCACACATATGATGGAAAGAGAGAACTCACTCCCTCAAGTTGTTCTCTGACCTCCACACGTGTGCCATGGTGTGTGGTCATACACACACACACACACACACACACACACACACACACACACACACAATATTTGTTTCTCTTTCTATGAAAAGAAAACACTGGGCTTCAGGCAGACACGAGCCAAGACTAAGGTCTCGCCATCCTTTGAGCTGGTGAGATAGGAGGAGCCAGACAGCAGGGGAAGGCACATCTCTGCTATTTCCTTGTTAAGACATGGAACCTCAGATGTAGAAAGACAAGAGCAGAAGAGGGGTATGTAAGAGCAAAAGACCGCTAGCTGTCCTTGAAAACCATGCTCCCAAAAGCCTTTCATGGTGAAGGCCACATGCAAAGGTGACCTGAGAACATGGAAGCCAGAGGGTGCCAGAGCATGACATAAGCTGAGACCACTGTTTCACAGATCAAAGTCATGGGCCACAAGAGGCAAGAATGACACCTCTCAGCAGGGGATCTTGAAATCATTTAACAGTGGTAAACAAGTGTTCTCAATAAGTTCTGAAGCCACAAAGGACACCACTTGCCTGGCACCTCCCTGAGGCAGAGTATGTCCATCCGGTACAGATGCCTCTCACACAGACTCTCACTCTTAGGGCACACTCTAGGCCACCTCCCTGGAGTTCCAAGCATGGAGCTGCAGCCAGGACTCTGAACTCTTCAATCCCCCTGAAGCCAACAAGCCTAGTGTGGCCTCAGTGGCTATGCAGCTCATATTTCAAGGTCTCTCCACAGGCCATGGCTCAGAACCCAAGGACACCAGCCAAGAAAACCTGAGAAAGCCCCTGATGGCACCTCAAGCAGGCAGGAGTCATGTCATTTCTCCAGAGCAAGATCAGCCATTTATGGTGTGGATCATGTCCTGCCCAGCCTGTCCCTTTAAGGTAGCCTTGCCAGCAGCCACACTGGTCCTCTACTCATCGCCTACAGATGCCACTTTGCTCTAAAGACAGAACTGGATGTTTCAGCAGTCAGTATGATCCACAATGACAAGGTTGATAACAACCTGGCCCTTGAGAAAATGCTTGCTGACCTATCACTGCCCTGCATGGAAGGTAGATGCATCTCTCACCCCAGGGACCTTTGCTGCTATCTGGAGCCATCTGGGTTATCATCACTTACAGTGTGTGTGTGTATGGGGTGGGGATGCTGTGTACTGTATCTGATAGCAGAGGCCAGAGAAGCTGTTCAATACCCACAACACATAGGCAGCCCCATGACAAAGCAACCCCATCCCAAAACATCACTAGTACCAAGGAGGGGAACCTGTTCTGGACCTGTCACTTGGCACCTGCTCTTCCCCAAAGTACAAGCAATGATGGTATTTCCTAAGCTTCATTACTCTATGAATGTGAGGGTGACAATAGAAGACCTTGTCCCTGGCAAGGAGGTCCCACTCCAAGACATTTCTGTCATCCGCTTGCCCTGTGATCATAATGAGTATGCTGTTTATGGTACCTGATCAAGTTGAGACTGTCTAGCTGGTTCTTACATTGGTTCTGAGATCACAAACCAGCCAAGCCAAACCCAGAAAAGCAACTTTAATTCTATAATCCCGCTTCCAGTGGGGCTCACGGCAACCCTGCAGGACAAGGAAAGCTGAATGGCTCCATCTTCTTGGCTCTGCGGAGGCCGGTGCTCTCCCCCTCCTCCCTGTGCCAGCCTAGCTGGGCAAAGCAAACTGCTCTTCAGTTCAGGGTGTGAATGTCTCCAGAGGCAGGGATCCAGAATCTGTAAACTACTTTTCTCCTCCTCTCTCCCTCTCCATCCAGTTCTCCTTTTCCTGGCTCCGGAGCCCCATGGCGCAGAAATACACAGCCTCATCCTCAGGCTGCAGTTCAGAGATGCTCAGATATCCCAGGTTCCGGACCACGTCTTTGGATCCGGAGAAGCGATGGGGTATCTTGGTACCCCAGTGCTTGTCTGAGCGTGAGAAATATCTCAGCAGGAACCTGGGAGGGTGGCCTGGCTTCTGCTGATACCAGTAAATGCTATAAATGTTGATGTTATGGTTGCTGCTCAGGGCGCAGGAGAGGCGGATGGTGGTTCCAAGCAAGGAAGATGCAGATGGTGGCTGCTGCAGCATGGGCTGGGGGCCACAACCTGAGAAGAAAGAAGCATGCCTATCACCAGGGCAGAGCCAGGCAAGAGGAGAGGCAAGAGAGGCTCTGGGCCCCAGGAGTTCCCTTACCTATGAGATGAGCCAGCAGCATGAGGAGGACACAAGTCCAGGCCATGGCTTCGACCTGCTGCAGCCACTGCTCCTGGAGCCCTTGCCAGCTTCGAAACACTCTCCTCCCTGCTTTAAGAAGAGGGTCATTGTCCCCAACTGGATGGCATTCCCCTACATATGGAATTGGGGTGGGGGGATGGGAGGGGAGGGTGGTTAGGGTGCATGTGAGAGGGCAGAGAGGGTAAAAGGGAGGGAGGGGGAACTGGGATCGACATGTAAAATAATAAAAATAAAAAACAATGATTTGATTCCAAAATTTAAGTTCAAGGACAAGTTACTGGGGGAAAGGAATTCTATTTTTGTTTCCACAGAAAATGAAAAGCTGTGGATTCCTTCCAGACTAATGTGGTTTGATCAAGCCAGACCACCTGAAACAGAGTACGAGGTGATCCTACATTCAAAACAGCTGGACAAGGCAGCCTTACAGACTACAGCCAGGATTTCTGCATCTTCTTAGAATCCCCCATGACAGCGCCCCTTACCAGCAGGAAGTAGTTTGGAAAGAATGACACCCAAATTCCCAAATATTGTCTATAAATGTTTGCTTTCATTTAAATGGACTTGGTTATATATAAAATAAATAATAATTAAATAAGAAGAGGGTCATTGTACCCATGGTTCGAACTTACTACCCTCCCAGGCTTTCTGGGCTCTGCAGTATCACTTACCAGAATGGTCTGATGGCAGCCTTTGTGGCTCTGTCTTTGTCCCTGGAAGCATAAAAGGAGGAACCGCCTGCTAGAAACTCATGGACCAGAACCCAGGAGCTGGCTGGTGGGCTCTCCCTGAGGGGAAGTGACCTCAACTCTCCCCTGAAAAGATGAGCACAGTGGAAACAAAGTTCTTGTTCGCCTTTAAATGTCTGGTGAACTAAAACTAGAGAGTGCATCCTCAGGACAATGAAAGCATCTCTTCACACAGCAGGAAACCAGGTGCCTCGGGAGTGGGGTGCTCTGACCCCTTCTAAGCTCCGAAGAGCCTTCAAACCCGGTCTTTCCATCCTAGAACAAAGTGGCTTTAAAAAGAAAAGTTGGCAAGGACATTTCTTCCTCTCAGCTCTCTACTCACTATGGATGTACCTGCTACAGATTAAACTTCACCTTCGTTCATACACTGAAGCCATGTTCTCCTATGGGTCTATATGTCCAGATAGGAGCTATTAGGAGGTAATTAAGCTGTAGTCATGCCTATCACCGTTGCTGTTGCTGGGAGGCAGGGGATGTACCGATGGGTGCTCAGTTCCAGAATGGGAGGGAAACATTGTCCACTCATCACTCATTCCTGCACCCAATAACCCATCCACGTGTTTGGCTTGTATTTGTAAAAGGTGCTGTTATTGTCTGGGTCCCAAAAAAAGAGCCTCAATGTTAAGAATCAGAGCTTGAGACAGTCCCACTTGTGAACATCAACACTGCAACCAGCCCTGTGACCCCTCTCACCATTGACACAATTGGAGCTTTCAGATCCCCAATGATTCTCCAAGAGGAAATGTGGTTGTCCTTGTCCTTGAGACAACAGACTCACATTCAGCCACAAAGATGCCCTGGTCTCAACTTTGCTTTGCAGACTTAATCTTATTTTTCTAGGACCCTCTGTGCTGGTTTGAAAGAAAACAGCCACACACACACACACACACACACACACACACACACCCCAAAAAATGGTACTATCTGGAAGTATGGTCTTGTTTGAGGAAGTGTGTCACTGCGGAGGCAGGCATTGGGTCTCATATATGTTCAAGCTACACCCAGTGAAACAGACCACTTCCTCTTGTCTACAAGATGTAGGACTCTCAGCTACTTCTCTAGCACCATGTCTGCCTGCACTATGTCTCACCAGAACCTCTGTACTATAACCGAGCCACCCCAATTTAATATTTTCCTTTATAAGAGTTACTGTGGTCATGGGTCTCTTCACAGCCATTGACACCCTAAGACTGAAGTTGGTACGAGGGACTGGGGTGTTATTGTGATAAGCCTGGCCATGTTTTTGTTTGAAGGAATGTGGACCTCGGGACTGTGGATTAGAAAGGCAGTTGAACAGGTTAGGTGCTGCCTAGTGGACCACACTAGCAGGATCATGGAAGACGGTGGTGCTGAGTGAGTTGGTGAACTGTGAGGTGCTGGCTCGAGAGATTTCAAAGGACAATGATATTAACATGTGGCCTAGAGGGCTTTCTTGTAATATTTTGGTGAAGAATGTAGCTGTTTTTTGTCCTTGTCTGAAAAATCTGCCTGAGGCTAAAGTGAAGAGTTTTGGATTAATTATATTGGCAGAAGAAATCTCAAAGCAGCCTCATATAGACTCTGTCATGTGGTTATTAGTGGTAACTCAAATGAAGATCTATAATGAAAAGCAGCAAGCTAAGCAAATAAAAATACAGAATGTACAGACTGAGAAAAGGGACACCAGGAAGTAGACCAGAGCTAAATTCTATGTTCAAGGAGGTAAATGAATTAAGAAATGGTTGTGTGATATTTTGTTTGCATTTTGACAAAGCTTGCCTTCTGAATTTGTCAAATGTTAATGGACTAGACATTGTTAGTGTATTTATTGCCTGTATATAATTGTATATAGCTATTGTACTTACTGGATATAGTTTTTCTATGCTAGTTAAAACTTTTGCTTTTTGTTTAGACAAAAAGGGGGAATTGTTGTACAATATTTTGTTTGTGTTCTGAAAAATAAAGCTTGCCTGGAGATCAGAGGGTGAAGCTAGCCACTAGCGGCCAGGCAGTAGGGGCTCATGACTTTAGTCCCAGCACTTGGGAGGTAAGATAGGAAGTGATAAAGTGGGGTGGAAACAGGATCTCAGCCCTTTTGGACAAAGAAAGGAGACAGATAAGAAGCAACTGGTGGCTGCTCCTGGCTCTCTGAGTTTGAGCCCAGTCTGGTCTACAGATCTAGTTTCAGGACAGCCAAGCTTAGGTAGTGAAGGACATAAAGCTTGTGAAGATGTAATTGAAGGCGGGGTCCAGGGTCCAGCCCCAGTCAGCAGCAGAATTTTGCAGATTCAGCCACATGGCTCTGGAATTAAGGATAGAAGAAAGATGCTGCACCTGCATGGCCTGGGACCGAGAATCTGCAGAAGAGAGGGTGTCAGGATTAACAACACAGAACTCTTGCTTGATGTTAAGAAGGCTCTCTTTGTTTATTTTGCTCTGGGGGCTGGCTTTTATACCCCTGCACCAGATGAAAGAGGAGGAAGTGGAGGAGGGCAGTTAGTCATCTCAGGTTTCAAGGAACAGTCAGGGTGTTCTCAGGGGCCTGTCCCAGTGTTCCGGAATCCAAAGGAATATTTTGCCTTAGTAAACATGTTTTTCTCTGTGGTTACAGCTGCCTGCCCTGAGAGCAGCAAGAGGAAGTAAATTCTTAGCCAAGGTCTTAATTCCCACAATTCCCCCTTTTTTATTTTCTAGGACCCCTGTCTTAGGTCATGTAGGGTGTGCCATCCCTTATCCATCCTTGGGGGACCTGGCAACCCCATGTCTTGGGTGGGAGGTTTCCCTACAAGTTGCCCATCATAGGTGATCCTCATTTCTGAAGCATCTGTAACCAGACCTCATGACTGCTGGGAGAGCCATGGGCCAGACTGAGCAACACTTGTCTATGTAACTGTTCCTTTTGTGAAAAGGACTGTCGGATCTTGCATAGCACAAGAATCCCTGCCCCGACCGCTACCAGTCCCAAGACCCCTAGAGACAATGCGCCACCCCAATGTTATATCCAACCTCTGATCTGGGCCATGGCATTCCACCAGCCCTCTGCTGAAATAGGGGCAACTCAAGTCTTATTGACCTCTACTATCTGAGGAGCCAAAACATTAGTAAATTTTACAAAAGAATTCCAAGGCCCTGCCAAGTATGCATTGAGGTGGTTGACCTCTACAGAGACATTTTGCACTTCAAATCAAGTGACACAACAGGAGTGATGAAGTGTGAGCAGGAGGCCTGCTGCACCAACCATAATACTTTAATTTGTTCTTGAAGTAAGGCAGTTTGCTGATTTAAGTTAAGGAGTCTGAACTGAATAGGAGCATTGAGGGCATTTTTGCATAGCCAGAGATTCACTGACTCTGCCCGCCACCTGGTTAACAGCCTCTGCGTTGATGGCGGACTGAGTGACAGCAATCCCTGCAATGGCAGTAAAAGTCACCAACATGGCAATGGTAGCAATGATGGCAGCAGTAATACCAAAGTCCCTTGGGTGGTAGAGGGTAATCTCTTCTCCCCCATGTTGGTCTTCCACCACCATGGGCAAGGGCAGGAACTCCAACTGCCAGTGTCCATCAGGGACCAGCAGTTGAATCAGGCTGACCACCGAGAAATTTCTCCCAACAGATGTGTTAACCCTCAAGGAGTCCTCAAAAGCCTGTGACTGGTTCCAAACGGCTGTGGCGTTAAACGCGGTTCCCCGTTGTAGAACAAGGGCCCATGGCCCACGAAGAAACATCTCTGAGAATGTTGGGGTCACTCCCGCTTGGTTCGGTTTCTGAAATGGAACTCGAACCCGTTGTCTGTGGAATTCTTACGGGGAGGGCGATGTCCGAACCACCACAAAGACCCTTTTCCCTTCAATCGCCATGGCTCTTGTGGTGCACAGGCAGGGGCCTATGCAAGTCATAATTTCTGGGGAGCTTCCAGAATAGGGGCCTGGGTCTAGGGGTCCTGTAAGGTGTACGCTTTTCTCCCGCCGCCTGGTCTTGTCCCACCGCCGAGCCAGCCCCAAATAACACACAGAGACTCTGTATTTGATATTATACTGTTGGCCAGTTACTACTTTCTTATCGGCTAGCTCTGTCTTAAGTGTTAACCCATTTGTGTTAATCTATGTATTTCCACGTGGTCTTCTTACCCGGAGCCGGCTGC